CTGAGTTTACATTAATGGTGGCATGATTTGGAAAAGGATAGTGAAAATGGTGGTACGATTCGAAGAGGGTAACCAGTTAATTGAATTATAGACATTGTTGAAATGACCTATGTTTTGTTATGTATATTTTCACCACAATAAAAGAAAAAAGAAAGCAGGGAGAGAACAAAAGAGGTTATTAGGGTGGATCCTAATCCACGGCAGGTGTTCTTATAAGAAGAGAAGAGACTCAGGGAGACCCCATGTGACCAGGAGGCAGAGACTGGAGTAATGTGTCTACAAGGCCCTCAACTCCAAGGAAGTTTTGGCAACCAACAAAAGCTAGGAGAAAGGCACCACTTCCCTCCTTGGGTCTTCAGGGAACACGGCCCTGCCTCATCTTGATTTCAGACTTCTGGCATACAGAGCTATAAGAGAATACTTAAATTTATTATATTAATTTATCTTATTATTAATTATTATAAATGTCTTATACACTTACATCGTGTTTCATAAATTCATAACTTTATATTTATATTTAATGTCATTAATTTATATTTTTTATATTATCAAACCAAACCAAACCAAACTCACTGCCATTGAGTCGATTCCGGAAGATTGGGCAATCTGCTTCCTTAGTGATACTTCCTGGGAAACCCAAGGATCGGTTGCTATGAGTTGGATCCGACTTGATGGCAGTGAGTCTGGTTTTCTTTTGTGGGTGGGGTTTGGAGGAGGTAAATCCTTATGGGAGTGGATTGTCCCAGCTTCCTTCCACGGAGCAGCTGCTGAGTTTGAACCGGTGGGTTTGAACCGTGGACTTTCTGGTTAGCAGTCAAATGCCTTAGGCACGTGTCTATTGCGCTGGCTGGTCTCCTTCCGAGGTATTTTGGCCGGCGGGGCTCCTGTAGCCCGCCCCTTTCGCAGGTGACGCACATTTCAGCCGCCGCTGCTTGGCGACTGCGTGACTAGAGTTCGAGCCCCCGTCTGGGCCGCCATGGCGAACACGGACCCAGAGGCTGAGGAGAGCAGCGAGGATGGCAGCGGCGGCGAAGGCCGGGCTCCCCTCGGCCCGAGCGGCAGTGCCGCGCGCCTGGCCCCGCTGGGTCCGGAGCAGCTGCGGCGGGTTCTGGAGCAGGTGACGAAGGCGCAGCCGTCCGCCGAGCCGCCGCCGCAGCCCTTCGTGCTGCAAGACGCGGCGCGGCGGCTGCGGGACGCCGCCCAGCAGGCCGCCCTGCAGCGAG